CTGTCTCCTGTGTACTACCCCACATTTATGGATAGATTTTCAGCAAACCAAATAAATATATCTAAATATACTTCATCAAACCTGCACATATCCATGAGCATATTCCTACTTGTTCAACCTGTATGTCTATCCAAGCAGCAACTTATAGATTATTAAAGTTGCAGGATTGTGTATGTTGTTTTGTCTTTTGCCTTTTACTTTGGCAAACCTCCCAGTGTCTTCCCCTGCCCTCCAACATTTTATCCTAACTTCCCTCTTACTGTAGAATGCCTTCCTCTTCACCCTGGTAACCAAGGAACAGTGTTTCTTTTAGTGCAGCAGTTCTTAACTTGTGGGTCGCGACCCCTCTGGGAGTCGAACGATCCTTTCACAGGGGTCGCCTAAGACCATTGGAAAACACATATTTCCAATGGTTGCGGGTCACCACAACATGAGGAACTATATTAAAGGGTCACGGCATTAGGAAGGGTGAGAACCACTGTTTTAGTGTGAAAACCTTTTCTTGACTTCTTATAATACTGGTCTCAGACAGTATTTGTCCTTTGGTGGTTGACCAAATTCAGCATCATGTACACCGTCCAGGTTCATCCATGTAGTGAATGTCTCAGACTCATGACCCTTTGTGTCATATGGAGTGTATGTACAATGTCCACTTGCCCATTCATCCACTGATGGGCCTTTACGTTCTTCCCCATCTTTGTGCTGTTGTGCACTGTGCAGTGATGCACATGGGGATGCATAGATCCACTCGTGCCTTGGCTCTCATTTGCCATGGGGAGATGCTCAGTAGATGAGCTGCTGCGTCATAGGGTCTTTCTATTGTTTTTGAGGAGGAAGCACATTTGGTTGCCACGTGGTGGCAATATCACATAGTCCTACTAGCAGTGCAGGAGGGTTCCAGCCTCTGACCCTTTGTAGTCATTATGTAGTGCCCGTCTTGGTTGCTCATAATGAATTTTGCCTTAGTCTGTTTATCTGTTTCTCCACTCCTGCTTTTTGGATTGCCATTACCTTGATTTTTTTTTTCCATCCTTTGATTTTTAGTCTAATTTTATCTTTGTGTTTAAGGTGTGTCTATTGTAGACAGCATACTGGTTGCCAAATTTTTAAAGATAGTGTCTAATTTCTTTAACTCTTAGGATACTTTTTGCATCATAAGGATCTCATATTGTGTCCACTTTGTGTTATGACGTTTATTATCTTATAATGTTTGTAAACAATTGTAAGGAATTCAAAGCAACAGCTATGCTCTTGAAGCCAAGCCATCAGGGTGAAATCAGACAAAAATGTGTGGCAATAGAAAAGCAGTATAAACCTCTATGTGGAGTTCAGTAGATGTTGGCCACGGTGGATTGGAGCGTGGGCCCCTCAGCTTCAGCGCAGCCTCTAAAAGGTTAGCTTTGTTGAGGAAAGTAATGAAAGGTCATACCTTGTTGTTGTTCAGCCATCTCTGATTTGGAGCATCAGACACAGAATGGATCTTTCCCGTGCACAGCAAGGGTGACAGGATCTAAAGCCCTACCTGCTTTTGGCTCAGTAACACCTCCTTTCTCGCTCTTACGGAGCTTGGTGGAGTAAACAAGGGGAAAGGAAAGAATTAGAATGGGCATTTATTTCTCTGGAAATATTGGTCAGCCCAAGAGTTCCTAACTTTTTTTTTTTTTTTGCTTTCTTGCAAAAGTGTTTGAATACTTAAAATCACTATCAAATATTTTGGTAAAGAATGAAATCACCTGTGTGTATCTTTTCTTTGCAGCCTGAAGAACTGAGAGAAATCATTGAGAAGACTAGAGAGATGGAGCAGAACAATGGTCACTACTTCGACACAGCAATTGTGAATTCAGATCTGGATAAAGCATACCAGGAGTTGCTTAGGTTAATTAACAAACTTGATACTGAGCCTCAGTGGGTGCCATCCACTTGGCTCAGGTGAAGGAAACACTCGTGCTGTGGTGTGTCTGGACTTGATCTGGAGAGCTGCCAGTGGAAGATAGCCCCAGTAGTTCACTGAGGTGCCAGCATACAAGGTGGCAGCAGAATAAACTGTAGACACATTCTCCAATTGAGAGGAAGTCCCCTGATCACTGGGTGTCCAGCATTCTTTATTCTCTACAGATGGCTTCAGGGGTTCCTGCCTCATTCGGGGAAAATGAAAGCTGACAATAGAGCAGTTCCACTTTATTAATATAAAAATCTCTTTTCTCATCTACTTAAATTAAATCTTTTCTTACCAGTCAGATTTCCATGAAAGGCGTGTGTGTGCATGTGCGTGCGTGTCAGTCCTTGCCTCACATAGTTGTAAATATGAATGTTATTTAACATTTAAGTTCTTCATGGGAACCTTTTTAGAACGGTGCTTCTGTGCACTGGGCAAGACAGTATTTGTTTAGGAGATTGGTTTATTCTTCAGAAATACCTTCCCCAAAAAACAAAGAAAAACCAGAATGGTGCCACTTTGGCCCGGAGCGTGTGTGTCATGCTAGAATTCCCTTGCTCGTCTTTAATTCTAAAAACATTGTGTTAGAAGCACTAGCTTTTTGGGCTCAAACTTTGTGGATCAGATTTCTGTACCCTGAGCAGACTGTGATCTACTGAAAATTGACATGTGCTGATCTTTTGTAAGATGTCATTTTTTTCCTTAAATTATCTCAAATTAATCTGGTAATTCATCTTCCCTTCTCCAATCTGAGTACAACAGGATGTATAAATCACCTTTTCTGAATGGCAAACGTTCTATAAGCTGTTAACTGTTCAAAAGTTTCTTCCTCGTGATGCAGTTTTTTTATATACATGGGAAGATGTAGCATAGTACATTGGACACTGTTTGCCTTGCCTTTTGTATGGACGGACACAGAATAATCCTGCAAATGCTACAAATAGGTAATAACTGGAATTCTGTTGAGGAACATTGTTGCTGTGCTATATATTTAATGATTGATAAATGATCACCGATTATACTTGTTCAGCATTGGAATAAAATTGTATGTAGCCTAGGAAAAATAATAGGAATTGACTTTGGGATCAGAAGGAAAAGAAGATCTGGAAGGTATTTGAACATTTTAGGAAAAGAACATTGGTGGGAGGGGAAATCCTGTACAACTAGGTATTGATCCTAAGGTTAGTCTCTTCTAGCCAGAATGTGCCGCAGCTTATTAAATTCTGTAAGAAATGTTGAAGCTAACAGGACTTTGTACTGTCTCTAGCTGTAGCTTTAAAATGCAGCTTCTGTGATTGGCCTGGAAAGTTCGTTTATATTCTTTGCAAGCCTTTTAGGGACAGTGTGACCAAAAACCTCAAATGGGAATGCCTTTTCTTTTTATGCAGTCTGTAACTACAGCAGTTCCTTTTCCCAAAGCTAAACACTGGAATAATACTGACTAGTCATTTAAGTTAACATGACCATGTTGGTAATGGTAGTCTCACTGTTGTGTACTTGATTTTTTTTTCGTGTAATTTTATTTGAGTAACTGTGGACAGTTTTAAGTGTTGTCTTTCCTGTTCAAATTTGCATGGCTTCTGTGTTCACTGGGAAATGTCTTACATGAAAATTATTTTCCAAGATAATATTTTTGAGAAAGGAAGAATTCCTGGATCAAAGGAAGGAATGCCATGTATACTGTCTGTGCATATCTGAAAACACTCCACCTTGTAACAGCAAACTGCAGATCACACCGATTCTCAGCATTAAAAACCAAGGAATATACTTAGCATTTAATCTCATTTTCTCCAGTTTTGCGCTCTCCTCAGGACTAAAGGGTAGTCTGGTAGACAAAGGAGTTTTTACAATCGGTTTGTAACTGGTGACTACTTTGACCCTATGATTTGAAATGTTTGTGTTAGAGTGAGGTCTTAGGGTAGTGGGTGCCACACCAGACTAAAACAAGCAGATCCTGTACAAAGGCACATACTGTGCAACAGCACACTTTGAGGATAACGGGAGATATTGGGGGGGGGGGGGCGCATTGATAGCCTGGAGGTGTCTCTCTCATCTGCAGTGACAGAAACGTTTATGCCCAGGACGTTTCTCGGTGCCAGTGAGGGGGCACGCCGACCTTCTACGCAGTCAGACTCCCTCAGGTTACAGGGAGGCTCTGCGCGGGACCGATGGAGCACCAGGGGCTGCCGTGAGTTGGAAGTGACTGAACGGCAGCTGGTGGTGTTTTCTGGTATACCGAGTTGCCCAGCAGCTCTGGCCAAATTCCATTTCCTGTCCCTCTAGTTCTAAGACCCCAGTGTGGGAGAGGTAGTGCTCTTATTATAGAAGTGATAACTAGAGCTAATGAAATATACACTGAAAATCCCAATAAGGAAATGGGTTCCTTCACAAAAACTTCTAAGAACAAATGAGAATAGTATTTTGACTAATCCAGATTTGCTTTCTATGAAAATCTAATATCTGGGTCTCTATTACCCCCTTCCCCTTACTCTTGGTCTAAGGAGTATTGAAAAGGAATGATTTGAATGTAATTTTGTGAATGTGTATGGAAAACCAGGGATTTAGCCTTAATAAAGGTAAGGTAACCTTTTTGTTCTTAATCCTTAACCTTTGTATTATCCTCTCTCTGTGCTTATTTTGAGATGTCATACTGCACACTGTATTGTAAAAATTAAAAAGTGAAATTGTATTTCAAATTTTATAAAAGTAACTTTCATCTTGCTGTGCTCCTATCCTCTTACGTTCATAGCTTCCACACATCAGCCAGCCTCACTATCCCCTCTCAGAAACGGTCTTTGCAGAACCAAAACAAACAGCCCAAACACTGCCGACTCATAGCAACCTTATAGGACAGGATCAAACTGCCCCTTTTGAATTTCTGAAACTGTGTTTATCGGAGTAGAAAGCCCTAGCTTCCTCCCGCTCTGCGGGTGGTTTTGACCGGCCAACCTTTCAGATCCCAGCCCAACATGTAACCACTACAGCACCAGGGCTCCATTTGCAGAACCAAAAGATTACCTGAGTAGAACACAAACCCAGATTAAATTGTTCCTAACTTGAGGTAGTGCCTTCAAGTAGAGGGGAAAGCAGGCCCTTGACAAGATGGACTGACACGGTGGCTGCAGCATGGGCTCAAGAGTTAGAATGGTGAGGACGCTGCAGGACCAGGCGGTGTTTTGTTCTGTCGTACAGAGGGTCGCTGTGCCTTAGCAACGACCCAAGGGCACCTAACAACTACTACAGGCGACAGTGTGGGAGGACACCTGTCTAAAAGCTGTCAGTCCTCTTTCCAACTGCTTAAACACAAATGGACATGAACTGGGTAGCTCTAGGGCAAATGTCGTTTCTATCAGCATGGGATCTGAAGACACTAAGGATACAGAGTCGGTACACATCAGAGAGCTACAGTGGAATTTATAAACTTTTGAAGTCCATATATATTTATTTCATCATGTTTTCTCTTTATTCTGTTATGCCAGTGTAGCTCTCAAAGGAGGCAAATCATCAACCAACCAAAACAACACTTACTACCCCAGTCCAACCATGGATGTTTCTTCCCCACTCTCACCCCCACTGACCAGATCACTTCCACTATTTTCACCTGATTCTTAACAGTACATATAAAATCTTGATTTGTAGGTATTTTAACCAGTCAGAAAAAAATGCCACAGGAGGAATTGAAGGTGCTTTTTGGCATAGTGTTTTCAGTACTGAGAACATGACATATGCAGTGTCACTCATCTATATGTGAGGATTCCTGAAATCAAATATGCACAAGAAGGAACTGTGGAATTTACATAAACCAGCAAATCATCTAGTTCCCTGGTCCTGCCCTCTAATCTCTGCCACGCTCCTAGAAAAGCTGTGCTTAAGCACCAAAACACTGACGCAGTGGGCTGGAATCCCAGCTGTTTGATCTGCCAGAGCCTCCCTCTCCTCATCTACAGCACGGAAATGGCATTTCCGCCCTTATTTGGGGGCGGGAGGATTCTACGTCAGACAGTTCAATCTTATTTCCATGACTTAGGAACTTGGTTACTGTGCTTTCCTAATCACTATTAAATCCATACTGAGCCTGATTTTATAATGTGAATACCAAGGGGATTCTTAAAAATCAACTCCCTCGTGATCAGTGCTGATCTTACCTTTAAATACTCAAGACTTTAAATAGAGGTAGGAAGTTAAGACTGCCTGAAATCTTAGATTTGACACTTGGAGCTTTGTGACCAAGAAGCCCTGGTTGCATAGTGGGTTAGGGATTGAGCTGATAACCAGAAGGTTAGCGGTTCAAACTCAAGGCTGGCTGTTCCCTTACAGATTTAGTCTCAAAGACCCACACGACTCTGTCAGAAGAGTACAATGAGGTTTTTGGTTTGGAGGGAGCTTTTTGACTAAAGACCAACCATATTTAAGTTCCCTATATCTCAAATTTTTCCCTTATGAAATAGAGAATTAAAATAGCATAGTAATGAGGTGATATACGCAATGCCTTAAAATAAGACCAGTACATACCTTGTAATTTTATAAAATCAAATAAATGTTTTAAATGTTTCCTAAATTATTTAGAACTTTAAAAAACCAAGGCTGTGCCATCAGTTAATTCCAGTATTAGACTAGTGCCACTTTCATTAACTTAAAAACGGCCGGTCAGGCCAAGAATGTCTAGAATAGTAGGCAGCCAAGACTGAGCTCACATCAAACCAAACAGCACCAAGGACCTGCGTGAACAGTGAGGAGCCTTACACTCTTGAGACTGGGGAAGAAATGGGGTCATGGAGCCTGCCACTCATCAGCAACCTCTCCCCTTCCTTGCCACGGAGTAATCCTGATCCCGTGGACAGACCGGCCCCTTTGGTTTTCCAGGGCTGAAGTGTCCTTTCTCCTGAGGAGCAGCTAGTGGGTTCAAACTGCTGACGCTGCTATGAGCAGCCAATGGGTAACCCACTGTGCCACCACCAGGGCCCTCAGCTTTCTAATGAGACCCCCGAGGCAGCATGGTAAGGCTGCTCGCAAAGCAAGGGCGTCTGGAGGGGAGCTGGCAGGTTCCAGGCTCTCGTCCAGGTCTCAGCTCTGGACGGCGATACCGCTGCAATCTGAGCCCGAGGACAAGACTACTGTTAGCAATTCATGACGAGGAACAACTTATGTTTAAATTACTTTACTCTGCTTACACCATCTTCACATTGAAATCGACAACTGCTCCCACGACAGACAGACAGACAGACAGACAGACCTGTCATGCAAGGAGAAAGATGTGAAGGTATTCAGAAAAGCTGGAGCCAGGCCACAGTCACACAGGGAGCACTACAGGGATCCCAGACACCAGGCCTGGGGCTGCGAGCAGCTGTGAAGGTGGACGGGACTAGCTGACCTGCACGTCATGCAGGCCTGAGACCAATGGTATTTCCCAACGTGTCATTTCCTAGTATGCACGGCAAGCAGGCCACTAGCAGATGGAAATGGAGCAGGTGATGCTTTTATGCGGTAAAACGACCAGTTCCTTGGCAGGTTCTACAAATCTCCAACACCATGACTGAATTGTGATGCTGGAGAAGTAACCCCATGAAATTCCCATTCAGGGAACTTTTACAACCAGTGAGATTTTGGGGCTTCAAAACAAAACAAAAACCCCCACACATACCAGAAGCACACAGCATGAACTACAATGGAGCCAGCACGGGGACTTCAGAAAGCTTATTCAAAGAGAAGATCCTCGTCCCTCTCTTCAGCCAGAAGGTTAGCAGGCTCCACCACTTCCCCAGCTGCTCGCCGCTGCTCCAGGTCCTTCTCAGATTTTTCTTTGAGAATCTTTTTCTTCTCCTGAATCTTCTTTAACCTGTGAGAGGGGAGGGTTTTCTGAGGCCGTGTGCCAGGGTTTCCTTCCTGCTTTGTAACAAAGCCACTAAACACCCACAAACTAGAACAAAATGTTACCTCTCGATTTTAGCTGGAGAAATTGTAATCAAATTAAAAATAGGTAGAATGCATCTCATATTTTAAGCTAATAACTAATTTCTAAAACTCATTCCAAGCTAAATGAGTTCTGAGATCTATTTTCTAATGGACCAGATCTTGAGCACCCAGACATTTATGAAAACGTTGGCTCGCTCGTCTAACAAATCTGAGAGGCATTACAGGACAAGAGCGAAGTCGGATCGTGAATATGATCAGTCAAAGCTGCTCTTCAAGGTCCACAAGTGTCCCAGCTCCTAACTACTCTGCCTTCACCTATCTCCCACTGCCGGGAGCCTAGCACACTGACCCGAACCACCTACTGACGCTAAATGATTTACTCTCAAGGGCTATGCTAATTGTATTATGGTAGAGACCATGACTTAATACAATTACGTAATGTCCTAAGTACTTTAGTATTTTCTTTTGGAACATACTCAACATGCAATACATATATGGCTGGCTGATTCCTCAGTTCTATCCCTCTGCTCATATGTACGAGACAACCAATTGACATTTGTTTCACTTCAAAGACTAATCAAGTTCACTGGCATCTTTGGGAGATACTAGGTTTTAGGCATGTGTGTAAGTTAACATTTGTCTCCCAGCCTTTGGCTTCTGATTTATTAGAATAAAATGCTTGTGCAATTCCCAACAACACACAATCACTAGATGCTTGGCAACATTTTTGTAACCTGGGGAACAAAAAGTGAACAGGAACTGCCAATCCTTACACACCTGTAGAACTCCTCTCGCTCCCGCTCATCCAGTTCTGTGATGATGTAAGACAGGGTTCTTTCAATCCGGGGAATGATGACTGAAATGTAACAAGCAAACATACGTGAGAACTTCAAAATCTCCCCCAAATTCTAGTGCTCACTGGTAAGATGTTACCTTTTTTCCCCCCAAGATGTAAAATTGATGCGTAATAATATAAGAAGCTATTAAAACATGCACCAAGCCAAACTCACTCCCACTGAGTCAATGCCGACTCACAGCAACCCTATAGGACAGGACAGACAAGCCCCTGTGAGTTTTCAAGACGACTTAAGGGAGCGAAAAAAAGAGCCACCAAAAATGTAACGATCCAACCATTCAAAAGTAACCATTGTAAATATTTTGATAGATGTCTTTCTAATGTTTTGTATTTTGGGACTGCATATGGGACCACAATAAATACTGAATATGTGGACAATAAATGACTAACATTGAGCCAGAGGCTACTTTAAATGAGGGTCAGCAGAGACTGAAAAAGTCCAACAGGGACTGCAACGTGGAGGGTCGTGTCACTCGTCAGGCCCTGCTTCCAGAATGTGGCTTCTTGAAGGGTGGACACTGGTTTGCTAAGTACAAGGCACCAGTAACCAGGCAAGAAATAAGTTCTGCGTTTCTAAAAATATTAGATAGCTTCCTTTTGAACATTAATAGAACCTCAAGTAAAATCATCTCTTTACCGTTCAGATGCTAGTCCTTTTGTACTTTAAAACTGATGTTTCTTGGTGAAAATTGAGCAAAAAGTATGGTCAACACAGAAAAATCACACACACACATATATATAAGTCATACTTTACACTAACAAGAAAAATGAAAAAGTGGATCAAAATGAGAACACTTATTTTTAGAAATCAAGAACTGAACAAGTACAGGGCATAAAGCCTAAAAGGGAGTGATTCAATGCTAGTGACATTTCAATTGTATCACCCAGGCACTGGGAAGCACTGAGAGGAGCCTGGCTGACGAGGGGAAGGAGGGCCTGTTTGAAGTACAGTTTGCACCCTTCACTAACTACGTGAACAGCCAGAAGTGAGACCCCATTTTGAATTCACCAGTCCTGAACTCTCCCAATCACACATCTACCAAAGCACTTAATAGCACCATCTTGTTCCACTGACACACCTCTCTTCCCACTGTGGGCAGGAACAATATCTTACGTGCCTGTTAACGTCCAGTGTTCTCAGTACAGTGCCTGACGCCTAGTGCGTGGCATGGATAGGAACAGGCAGTTGGTACTCACCATGTTCAATGGCATTTACACGCCTGTTGGTTATCTTGATAGCTTCATCCAAAGTAACAAAGGACGTCTAGATCAGAGAACACATTGCTAGGGTCAGAGCAAGGTCTTCCTCACCGTGCCCCATTTACCTGTCTCCACTAGACTGCACATGGAGACACACTTGGGGACAAGACTACTGCTAAATATGCTTAAAGACCAGGAGATTCCTGTAGGATTTCTATAGACCCTACAATATCGCCAAGCTAATATAACTTCTATCCTGCAGATGAATAAGGATAAAGATATAAAATAACCAGAGGAGAGAATTATGAACTAAGAGGTCTCCACTGACTAATGACAAAAGGAAAAGGAAATGACCTTCGTGTCTAAAACCATGTTGCATTTGTCCTGATGTCTCCTAGTGACTTGCTTTCTTCACTTAGCAAAATTACACCCAATGTTGTTCATAACAGAGAAAAGGAGCCACCATTTCACAGGAGAGCTCTCAAGCCTGTGCGCCTGGGCTCACCCCAAGTTAGGCTCACTGACGCTGAATGCTGACTGAGACCCCTCTGCCGATGAGAAAGAAGCCGCAGGAGTCCTCTGGCTCTGCTGCTGCTCACCTGCAGTGAAGCCAGTTCCACCAGGAGCTCCACTGCTTTGGCATAATTCCTCTTTAATTTAGCCAACTGTTCTCCACCTCTGGCTAAACCAGTCAGTTCATAACCTGAAAAAGCCAGTCAGACAACATTTGTAGTTACAGAAAATAAACAATCTTCTCTGTGAAGTCCCCCAAATGATGGTTCCTACAACTACTAAACATGGAAAGATAAATGCGGAGCCGAGGTAAACACAAACATGAGGTGCCCACCTCACTCCCCAATCAATCGTTGCAGAGCCAAAGGCTGGGTGAAGTTTTCCACCAAGGTTCTGTTCTAAATATGCCCACTGGAAAAGCTTCTGGCCCAACTTATATGACACTGGCTTGCTTGATTAATCAATGTCCCATGAGCCCTCTGTCAACCACATGGCCTGCCGAGCCGCAGTACAGTGATGCTGTTACCAGGTGATACTTGGGAACACTTGGCTGCCTTATTCCAGCTGAATTTGTTACTCTATGATTTAATCCAATGGGCAATGAGTGCAAAAAAGGTGGGGGAGGGAGCTTTCAAATTAGGAATAGATGAGACAATTATAAAAAATTAGGAAGAAGCAATCAAAATCTAGAAAGATTCAGTATTCGAAAACATGATGCTGTCTGAGTCCTATAAAAACTACAGCCAGCAAGTCAATTCTGACTCGGCAACCCTCCAGGCCAGAGTTGGGCCGCTCCCTCGGGCTTCAGGGGCTATAAATCTTCACGGAAGCCTCACCATGTCTCACTGACTCCTGTGGTTTGGAACCACAGACCTTGGGGTTAGCTTATGCCATAGCATCACCAGGGCCCCAGCTAAGATCCTGTAATATGTTCAAAGACCCCGGTTGGAATTACCCACAGTGAATTCTAGAGTGCAGGAGTCTATTGGGTGGGTCCACACTCAAAAGGCCCTGGCTTCACAAAAAAAGTTCCACACTTACTGTCAGTTCCTTCGTGGTAATGTTCAAACACTGGTAGAGTAACACCTGTTACACAGAAAAACACACGGGGGGGTCACTGTTTCTTAATGCTTCCACTAGTCATTTGTCATCAACTACTCAAAGGCCGAGAGATCTCCTGGAAGTGTAACTGCTCTCGATGAATGAGTTTGGATTTTAATGCTCGTTTCGAGTCAAAAGTCCTATCATCCTGAGTGAAAACAGTCCCAGTTACTAGAGTGGCTTTAACATGCAAAACCCATCAAGTTGCTCTAAGGAGAAAGCTAGGCCTGGTTACATAAAGAGGTGAGTTTTTAAATGCCCCCCTCTCTAACCCACGGTTTCTACAGGGTGGAAAAGTTACCTGCTACGTTATCTTTCTTTGCGCGGATCTTCACTTGGGCTTTATTCACGTTTTGGATAACGGTCGTGCTGCAGCAAGAGAAAAAGCCTTTGTTCAGTTGTGCTTCTAAAATGAGAATCCAACCTACAGGGGGCCACTGGATACTTTGAACATTAAATAAAATCCGAGTAAGATGTCACCATTAATGAAGCTTTGATAACTGCATTTCCCAGGAAAGTGGAGAAATCTCTGCTGCCAGAGGAGGGCCTCCGAGAGCAGAAAACGGAGCCGACTGACCAGACTAACACCACGGGACAGGGCAGTCTCAACGGTTGCTACGGCTGTAGCCTTTACAGGCCTGACGGTCACTCTTTCTCCAGTGGGGCAGCTGCTGGGTTTGAAGCAGACTCGTCTTCAGTTAGCAGCTGGGTGATTAACTATCACGCCACCCATGGTCCGAAGTCAGCGTATGAGCCACACCGAAGCAGTGAAGCCTGGTGCTGAAAGTGCACACACGGGGAGGTTGCAGGGATACCTGGACACGGGAGGGGTGACTTTGAGGGTTGTTCCTTCATGTGATTTGGAGAGAGCGGAGCTTCCTTCTAGGTTTGTTTTTCAACCAGTTAAACAGGAGTTAACTTCTTTTATTCAGGAACCTATCTAACTTCCCTCAACCCAGCCTGTTACCAGGGAACGTGTTTTCTCCACAACTACCCTGAACCACATTCAAACAGCACGTAAACAGTATTGATCCCTTTCTTCTGCTGGGGGTAAAAGTTATTTATCTTACCACCTTTGACGAACAATTGAAGCCTATTACCTCAAAGGGCAGTGCGTCCTCAGAGGCCAAGATCTGCCTGACCATTAAAGCTCCTGGACAGTACAAACTAAGAATGGAAGCAGAGTACATACTTAAAAGCACTGGTCTGTAACTGAAAGGCTGGAGGTTCAAGTCCACCAAGAGACCTCACAGGGAAGACCTGGCTATCTCTTCCTAAGAGATCAGCCAATGTCAACTGTAAGGAATACAGTTCTACCCCAGCACAAACAGGGTCACCCTGAGTTGGCATCAACTCATCAACGGGGACACTGAGGGTGTGCTGGCTTAGGGAGCACTGCGTGTGGTGCCGCAATGATCTGGAAAAGGTGAGCGTAAATGGCTGCACAACTTGAAGGCTACAATCATTGTTACTGAATTGTACATGCAGAAATTGTCAAGGTGGCTTATATTTTGTATGTGTGCTTTTACACCCCCCACTCCACCTTGTACCAAAACTGAAACCAAAACCCCCCAGCGGTATCGTGTCACTGCGAAGAGAAGACGAAAGTCATGCCCCTAACGAACCCTGTGACTTTAGGATGGCAACTCACTTAACCCGAGATTAATGTTTGCCTTGTCCACTACATATGGTTGCTCTGAAACTCACATCTGTACATTGGCCCCAGGTCTTCATAAAGCTGTTGTATGCTGAAACCCATCTGCAGTGCACACAGCTGTGATCAGCACCAGGACCGTGGAGTGGACTTGACTCCCAGCACCCTCGTGCTGCACAGCAGGACTGTGCGGCCCAGGTTTCCTGACTGACGATTCAGCAGCAGATGGCCAGGCCTTTCTGCTGAGGTGCCGCTGTGGGGTTCTGAGCCACTACTCATTTGGTTGGTACTGAGGGATAACCATTCGTGCCACCCAGGGACTCCCACTGATAGGACAAAAGGCATAAAGTCAGTGCCTTTTAAAGAGTCAACTCTGTTCTTAGAAATTTATCCTAAAGAATGAGCTCCACAGAAACCAAGATAAGGGACTTCCGGGAAAATGGCGACTGAAGTGACACATACCGGAGGGACTCCAGAATCCAGCCCAGAAATAAATCATCAGCACACAGACAACTCATCTTTGATAAGGGCCCCAAAAATATCCAATGGGAAGCAGATGCCCTCTAACAAGTGGTGCTGGAAAAAAATGGATATTTGCCTGCAGAAAAATAAGCAAGACCCTTATCTCACTCCATGCACAAGAATAAACACAAGGTGGATCACAGACCTTGAAGTTAAACCCCAAGTGATTAGGGCCATCAATGAGGGAATTGGGA